GAAGTGCCTTTAGTGGGTCTCCACCTTTGCCAAACCTTTTATTCCCTTGCGGATTTACAGTTTTGAGATCAACCAAAAGCAAAGCATCACCCCCTGCATCAAATCGCATCCAGAAAGCGGATTAGGGAGCAACCATAGATTTTTCAGGTAGCTGGAAGAACAGGAATTGTTTTGGATAAAGGCTATATCCTAGGGAAAATGAGCTTTAAACTCAAACTGCTGTAAGTCAACTCCTTCCTGGCAATGGGAGAGACACCCCGGGGCAGGGAATTAGGTGTCCTGTTCCTTCACCTCCATGCTCTCCCCCTCCCACAGAAGAAAACCAATTTTCCCAAATCCACCGCTGAGCTGCTCAGTGCTCACGCAATCCTCCCTGGGAGCCTCAAGGTACGTCAAGGGAGACATACAGACCCGATCGGAGTCTGTGTTTCCAAGGTACGGCTTTGATTTTCAAGTCATCCCTTACAACATCGGCTGGAGCCTGGCAGGCAGAGTTGAGGATGAGAATCCCTGGCACGAACCGCTCCCCGCTCAGCCACACAGCTGGGAGCAGGAGGCTTTTCCTTGTGCTCGGAGCTGGTTGGAGACGGCTCTTCGCAGCCTGGGGGTTTTTAACATTTGGCATGGTAAACTCTTCTGTTCTGCAAGTTCCTGGAGCGCAGACACAGGCTGGCATTTCGCTTCCAGCAGATGAAAGTGTGAATAACTACCCCAAGGAAAACCAACACGGCAGAGAAGGCGCCTCGGGTACATCATGCGAGACACTGCAGGCTCACCTGGCGTCACCTTGCCACTGGCCACGTCACCAGGGAGGAGCCAGCATCTCCCCGCAGCACCTTTCGTGGCAGGAGACCGGCTGGGACTCGTCTTGCTGGGAGGAGCAGCCTGGGCAGGGAAGGCGCTGATCCTCCCCGGCCATTTGGCCAGGCCACTGAACCGACACGCAAGTCTGCACCAGCCTCTCGTCTCCGGTTCCGCAGACAAGGCACTGCCTCTCGTCTCCGGTTGAGCAGACAAGGAACTGTTTATCCCAGGCCAAGAACAACGAGCGATCTGCGGGATGCTCCTGCGCAAGAGCTGCTTTGCAAACAGGGGACATACGGAGCGACAGAGCTGCTCCCGAATAGGAGAGGCGGCACGGGAGGACCCCCTGCATCTCCTACCACCCTCTGGCACAGCAGCCCAGCCCCCAGCCCCCATCGCTCCTGCGGCACTAAAACGTCAGGGCCCTAACGGAAAGGTGACCAGTAAGGAGGGCACAGCAAGAAACTGGATCCATGGGAGAGATCCCTTCTGTCCCCAGGGAATACTGATCAGAAAGAGGCTTTCAAAGGAAAGGAGGACACGCGCTGCACAGGAAAACTGATCTGTTGACAGAAAATATCTATGGGTTGCCTGAAAATGAACCACCTTCACGAGAAGGTTTCCCTTGAGAGCGCATGGACTCTGGGCACCTTAGAAGGTTAAGAGCATGTCATGCGGTTTTTCACCTTCAGCTAAAGGTCACTGAGCATTCCAGCAACTCCCTGCTCCAAGCCAGGCACAACCGGAGTCAGCTACGCTCCCCAACATTGAAGCCCAGCCCGGTTTTCCTGCAGTTCGGCCAAGAACCACCGAGCACTCCTACGAAATGCTGATTATTGGTGATTTTAGTTTTACCTACAAACAGACCAGAGCCTTTTCACCAAGCCTGCTGCTTCCCTTCCAAAGCTGCACGCTTGTCGAGGGTTTTTTACTAGCCGTTCTTTTAGGAAGATGCAATTAAATCTAGGGTCATTATGGAACATCGCACCATTCCCACATCTGGCCTCCCTGACAGCTGGCGGGACCAGCTGCCTCTCAGTGAGGCAGAAACAGAGGAGGAGGAGGACACCGTGACAGACACGGGGACCAACCCATCCTGCAGAAGAGCTCATTCGCTGCATTGCCTGTCAGAGCTCAGTTTGGATCAAGCCGGCACCTCAGTGAAACCTGCCAAACCTCCTCGCTCAGCCAGCACTGGATCTTCTCCATCAGCTCCCAACTCAGCGGTAACTCCTGGAACATGCTGCTGGGAGGTAGTGCCCCTATGTACACAGCATATTTCTGTCTGTCCAATTGAAATGTCTTTTTTCCCCAGTTTAGTTGGATACTCCCTTAGGTTTTACACGATGGGAGAAGACAAACGCCCAAGACTGCTTCCACCGCCTTCTGCCTCTTCCCAACATCCCCTCTCCCTTCCCTCATCTGTGAAATCTAACCACTGCAATCCTTCCAATCACTTTTCATAAAGCATCTCCAAGCCTAAAGTAACGCCACGGCTCATTTCTGAGCTCAGCTTTCCTGCCGTGCGTCCCCCTCTGCGACTGTCACCGCTGGACTGTGACTACTTATTCCTATTGCGTTTGCAGCCCTGCTCTGCCCAGGAGGCAACCAGGGTGTTTCCACCACCAGGATAAGGATCCCCAGGCTCACAAATTCCCACTTCTCAGGAAATGATGTCGTGGAATGCAGCAAACCAGAACCAAAACCTAATTAGATGCAAGACATGCTGTTGTCGGGTTGGTTTTGGCCTCCCTTGCCGTCTTCCAAACAAGCTCTTGTGTGCAAACACACCCCATGACCAAAGCGACCTGGCCAAGACATGCAAGCAAACACTGCTGTCTTTTAATATTAAACAGCGCAGCAACTTCAAAGCAACAGGGCTGTGCTCTCCCAGCAATCCCAACAGCCAGCAGCTCCAGGCTCAAGCCGTGGCCAGGCTCCAGCTCCGGGCAGCAGCCTGCCGAGGGTGGCAGGGCGCATCGTGCATGGACACGCTTACAGAAACGCTGCCCTCCCCAGGAGGGGTTGGCATGGGGCTGGCACATTCCTGCCCAGAGCAGCCTTTGGGCTGTCCATCCAAAACCAAAACCTCAGCGCGGAGCTCTCCCACATCCACACCCCTAACGGGTACCGCGTAACTTCGGAAGGTGACGGGCGGCTGTAAAAACAGCTGCTGGAAGCAAACGCCAGCAACTTCTTCCAACATTAACAGGGCAGAATAAAAGCAGCATTCACGCCAGGCAGAGCCACAGAGCTCCCCCCAGCTCGCAAACAACGGCCCCACCGGCTGTTCTGCTGCCGCCACACAAAGGGGTTTGCATGATATGGGGACTCACCCCGAGGTTGGAGCCTTCTGCGCTCTCCTAAAATCCATCTCCAGGTACTGAGGTTTCTTTGGTCTGTTTCTGAACTGCAGAGCCTGCTCACCTGGGCACAGTCTCCCGCTGGGTTCCCAATACAGAGGGAACGGGGATCATCTTTGAGACCAACGCTCTAGGTTCAGTCCCACCTCCCAGACAAACGTGCCAGCACCGATGGAAGCAACACTCCCACAAACCAGCCAGGTCAGCGTGTCTCACAGCCCGGATGAAAAGCTGCTTTGTGCAGAAGCATGCAGGCCCTGGGCGATGCAGACAAGCCGGCTAACGCAGCCAAAAGCTCAGCCTGCGCCCTCCTTAACCTTTCCATTTCAAAGCCTTTCCGAACTCCAGCTCTGCTGAAGCCCAAAGAGAGCAGACGAGGGAATTTCACCCCTTCACCGACACTTTGTGGGTTTCCAGACTTTCAGTCAAACCCTAAAGCCTAGGAATTTCACCAGTCAGTAGCTGCCACCGTCAGAAACATCACCCAGGGAAGGTCTCCTCGCCAACTCATGTGACTCGTGGATGCCCCATCCCTGGAAGCGTCCAAGGCCAGGCTGGATGAGGCTTGGAGCAACCTGGTCTAGTGGGAGGTGTCCCTGCCCATGGCAGGGGGTGGCACTGGGTGGGCTTTAAGGTCCCTTCCCACCCAAACCAGTCTGGGATTCTGTACGTCAGAAACATCACCCAGGGAAGGTCTCCTCGCCAACTCATGTGACTCGTGGATGCCCCATCCCTGGAAGCGTCCAAGGCCAGGCTGGATGAGGCTTGGAGCAACCTGGTCTAGTGGGAGGTGTCCCTGCCCATGGCAGGGGGTGGCACTGGGTGGGCTTTAAGGTCCCTTCCCACCCAAACCAGTCTGGGATTCTGTAACTTGTGGCCACATCCACCTCGCTGTAACATCCCAGGAAGCAGCTCCAAAGAACCTTACCAGCGTGTGCCACACTCCAGCACCTAATAAGATTCATTTAAGCAGCTTGAGCTGACTAAAGCTGTTCCACTAAGGAGAGTTTTTTCTGTTAAGGGCTTAAAGCTAAAACATTCAACCTCCAGGATGAGCAAGCACAGCATGAGTGACACGGCACAAAACGGAGAGGCTGAATCCGGGTGAATTAACCCACGCAAGCTCCAGTGCATTCAACAAAACACGGCCAACACAAAAGCCGTTGCCAGCTTACGCCTTGATCCAAGAGGAGACAAGGCTACAGGTCAGCGTCAGAGGCAGAAAAAGTGGGGGTGGATAATATGGAGAAAATGAGCAGCTCTGCTCTCTCCTTACTCCTCTGGAGTGCCACCACCAGCCTAGAACACCATGTCGAGAGGGGCAGGTCCTTGACCGCAGGGCAAGCAGCGGGCTCATCCCGGCACTCCACCTGGAATTCAGGAGAGCTCTCCCACGGGTGCAAGGAGCCAGGAAGGGGCTCGCTGGGGCACGGAAAGTCCACACACAGGAGAGGACGCCAGTTCCCCTGCAAGCCAGCGCCAAAGAACGGCCAAGCTGAAGAGGGCTGGAGGCCCTCCTGGCTCCAGGTGGATGGTCACCCTTCCCCTCTCTCCCTACACTAGGTGCTGCACCCAATTAAGGGTGCCCTCGCCAGGAAGGCGGACGCGGATGCCCAGAAGCCATGAGCCCACCAGCGCTGCCACAGCAAGTGCTGGGAAGAGGCTGGAAAGGGACAGAAAAGCCAAAAGCACCATTTGGAGAAACAAAAAGAGGATGCCATGAGAGAGGAACGATGAAATCCCGTACCACAGGCACGGAAAAGGTCTGATTTCTCTGCAAGAGCCACATCCGAGGCCAGTGAGCAGGTAGGGAAGGAAACCCTCTTGCCTTACCGCATGCGGTCGAGCGATCTGCACCGGGTAGGACATGGCGTGCGGGGGATAGCGCGGCTCGGCGGCACGCCAGCTCTGTGTGTGTCACGGGCTGCGTAGATCCAGACATGTCGGAAGATCAGGGCGCGGAGATCGCTGCTTCCAAATCACGGATGAAGGATTAGGAGAGCCGAGAGCTCCTCTTCATCATGCATGCGCTTTCCACAACACGCGACAACTGGAAGCAAACGGGAAAGCAGCAGGTTAAAATGCAGTTGACCACGGTCCCATGCAACAACCGAAAGTCTGGCGAATGATTACCCCAAACCCATCCCAACCGACTGCCCCAGAAAGCCCTCGCCCAGCTCCAGGCCTGCAAATGGCCAGCAATTTATGTGGGCTCTGTGCACCTACCTCTCCAAGTCTCTTGGAGATGAGTAGTTTTTTGGGGAGTGACAGTTCCCAAAAACACAAGCTCAGAGTTTTGGCACATCAACACGAAGTCCAACGGTACAAGGTCCCTCCCCAGCCCATCCCTTTTCCCATGCTTTCTATGCCTTCCTTTCCCAGCCGTGGCCATTCTCGCAGCCACCTGAGGGAAGCCCTGATCCATACCAGGAGGGACACAGGCACCAACCTCCCGGCCAGCCCTCTCCATCCGTGGGGCTAACCCTTACTCTCATATTAACAGTTTGTTACAGAAAACACATATTCCCGCTGCAGCCCGGGCACAAAGGACATGGCCAGGCCCAGTCCTGACCAGGCAGAGTCCCACCTCCCCCAGCTTCCCCTCCCCAGAACCCCTTCTCCATCCCACGCAGCGCTGAGCACGCTCCACATGCCTCCTTTACAGTGCGGGAACACTTCAGGATGGATTCACGCCAGGATTTTGGCAGTATCCAAATCTTTCCTTGGCAGGGAATGCTTCCAGCCCCACCAACTCCCCAGCAGCCTCTCCCCACACTCCCAGGGTCTCCGCTGGACCAGGAGCTCGGCCAGCCCCGGCCAACGCAGCAGCAGCTGGCGTGTATGAAACCAAAAGGGGGTGCGGAAGGGGGAGAAAGAGGAAGTCTGTCTTGTTTTCCCCTCCTGTGAGACCACAGATCAGCCCGTGATGATAACCCCATCGCTATCTGCTGCAGGCAGGCACAGGACCCCCTCGCCAGTCGCGGCATCCACGCACGGCTTACCAGCCGAACTGAGGCAACGGTCCCCGGCCCACCCTGCAACCGCGGCAGGGGGAACGCAGCCCCAAGGGGCCCCTCCAAGAGGTCACGTTTAACAAAACTCAGTTTTCAGCACTTTCCCACTAAGGCCTCCGCACGTCTGCCATCCTCGGGCATCGCCGCGCTCCAGCTGCAGGTCACCCTTCGGCGCAGATGCTTTGCCACGTTACACATGGGCAAACGCACAAGGTTTGGCTCTCAGGGCAGGGAGCGGAGGGACAAGCAGGTCCCCTCCTGCTTTCAGCTCGCTCCCTGCAGTGCAGCTGGGACTCCCCCATGCCCTGCACCCACACATCCCACCCTACCTGCTACCCTGCTCCCGAGAAGCACCAGCAGCTCATCCCAGCCGGGGACAGCCTCCCGACGCAGGAGCTCGGCGCGCTCGGTGCGATCCACCCCGGCACAGGAAAGCCCCTGCGCAAGCGGGGGAATTCAGAGGCACCCAAAAAGCACCCGGCGCATATTTATACTTCCAGTATGACTACTCCACTTCCCCTCTTTCCGACTGGATGCGATCTGAATGGCCACGTCCCACCCAAAGCGCAGGTCAACACCCGCTCCGCTCACCCTCCCGGAACCCACCCTCTGCCTCCCGCAGCCCATGTGTGCTTCCATGGGGGCGAACCCTCCCCCGCAGCTGCCAGGGCCACGTGCACCATGCTCCCACAGGCTCCAAAACCTCACGGGGACCTGCAGAAGCCTACGGTACTTTCCTGATAACAGATCCAAACTTGGACATCTTGCCTTGCAGCCGCTTAAGAGTTAAATCAGCACACGTAAACATCACGCACATGTATTACGCATACTCCGAGTGGGGGGGCCCAGAGCCTTTGGCAGCTTTCAGCGAGCCAAAGCTTCCCTGGAAGCTCAGCAGGAGAACCAGACCCTGCCCTGGCAGGGTCTACAACAAGAGAAACGTGGTTTTTAACTCTTCAGATCAGAAGTTCGGCTTTAAAACAGCACAGCGTGCAGAGCCACACCATGTCGAGCTCTCAAACAGTTCAAAAGCTTTTTTTTTTCCTTCTGTCTGTGCAAGCAGAAAAAAAAGAAGTTATCAGTATGCTAGAGGGACGAGCACACGTGGGATGAAGGGACAGAGGCCACCACAACGGCCTCGCGCCAAGCGCGCTGCCTGCAAGCCACTGGCTGCACGCTGCCACAGCCACCAAGGCTTTCCCCTCCCTTCCAGTGGCACCAGACTGCCTCAACAAGAAGCCCATGGAAGGCCAAGAGTTAAAAACCATGTGCTTGCAAACAGGGAAAGCACTGCCCATGGCTCCCACACCAGCAAACCACGGAGCGGCAATGAAACCCAAGGCCCTGGGTGCTCTGCACCGCGGGCTGGAGCTGAATCAGGTCCCCAAAGCACTGGGGCAGCTCCACAGGCGCCTTCCAGCCTGTTTTTATGCCCCATGTGTGAAGACAGGGGCTACTGCAGCGTGTCCAGCCCAGCACCACTCCGGGGAGGGTGCCGAGTCCCCAGCCAGCCAGCAGTGGGGCTGGGGGTGCTCACACTGGGAGGAAACTGGGAGCGTGATGTCTTGCTGGGGATGCGCTGGTGCTGGTTCATAGCTGAGTGCAACTGGGATGATGCTTGGCCACCCATCCCCAGCAAGAGATTCCAGGGTGTCTCCTCAGTAGCAGCCCCTAATTAATTATTTTTAAGAGAGGAACACAAACAATAGGAGCAGATTAATGGAAATGAAAGAGAAATAGTGCAGCCAGACTCTCTAAATCCTGAAGATCGAACTGTTTGGTTCCCACTTTTCCCAACTGATTTTGATAAGAAACAGACGTTGTCTTACAGGAAAAGTATTTCCACCAGTTGGAGTGTCCATCAGGGATGGGTTTATCCGCAGACCTGTGTTAGCCATTACGGCACTAGGTACGAGGAGGTTTACAGCCTCCGATTGGGGCGGAAAGCTGGAGCCTATGGCACACCCAGCATCAGGGCTACACCACGGACCTGCCGAGGGGGCGGGAGCAGGAGCCTATTTCCTCTTGTTTGGGAGATTCCCAGGATCCTGCCCCACTGCTGGAGCCTCTTACATGCCACTTACCACCTGAAGTCCACTCCCCATCACCTCTTCTCCCCAGCTCACACCACGAGAGCACCCCACCAGCCACGGCAGGTTAGTGCTGACCTGCCTGCACCAGCGGCAACCTCCCCCCAGCCCTCCCACATGCCTGCCAGCTCCCAGCAGCACACGCCAGCTCGGGCACAGGCCACACCACCGAGCAGACGCCCATGCAGCCCCAACAATGGTCACACACCAGCTCACAACGCCCTGCAGCGATCCGCAGCATCACGCTCACAGGGATGCGCGTTCCTGCACCAGTCCACCAACCCACCTCCTGGGCCGATGCAGGCAGGACCATGCAAAAACCCTACACGTCCAAAGTAAGGCTTTGCAATTAAGTTGATTTGCAAAAAATAAATCAACGAACGTCACTTAACACACTTGTTGCTCTTCAAAGTTAGAGCCAACCCCCCAATCAACTCCGTACTCCCCCGTGAGCAGAACTCCCAGGTGAGGTCCCCAGCTTGCCACATTGCCATAATTACCCCCCCTGCCTTAGTTATCCCTCTGAAAGGGCAGGAACAACCAGACACTCCCAGCTCCCAGAAAATACCAGTTCACCCATCCTAACAGAGACTGGGAGGCCTGCAGCGCAAACAGCGCTCGAGTTCAATGCAAGGACGTGCTGAAATAAGATTAACAGAACATGTGGTTTCCTAAGCTCAGAGTAACGTTACTCAACTTGTGGTCTACGGACCATGGATGGTCTGCAGAAAACGTTAGGATTCAGCCCACAGAACGACTGCAAAAGACCTCACTGAAGGGCAACGACTAGTACCCCCACACAACAGGAAAAAAGCACAACGCTGCTCGCGCTCACCGCGGCACATTCGATTGAGTTTTGACAACAGAGCTAGTTTAATTACATTAAACGATGCACGTTTTTGGAGAAGAACACCAAGTTGTTTCTACTCAAATGCTAAATACATGACTATTTTCCTCCTCAAAGAGGAAAAACGGTATATAACCTGCAGTCAACTCATGCAGTTTGAAATAAAAGTCAAGGAGACCTTTGTTTATCATGCTTAATTAACGCCGAGCTGTAACATTCACCTCCAGGAGCCCAACCAACCCACCCCGGTAAAAACCCCAGCGCACGGTATAAACTCGTGTGCAGCCCAGCAGAAAGCAACTTGCCAGCAGCCGTGCCGGGGCCAGTAACAGCAGGGCCGTGCCGTACAGCTCCAGATCTGAAGCAGACCTGAAAAGCAGTCGGAGATGTACCCACGCTGGTTTTAATTATTCTTGCTTCCAGTAGTCCTTCAAGATGTGATGAAAATGGGTTCCCAAGAAATGCACCACGGTGTAACGATCATGGATTTCTGTAATCAATGAAGTTTTCTTGGGAGACAGTTGACATGATACACAAATATTTTTGTATGTACGGATTCCAGGAAGTCCTTTCAGTAGGACAGAAGGACTGCTGGAGCTGCCCAGGGCAGGATGCTACCCTTATTATTATTGTACCCTGAAGGTACAACCCATCCCTAAGGCCACGGCAGGGATGGTAGAAGCTCAGGAGCTGAAATGTCTTGCTGGTTTGCTGCCTCCTCGCTGGAAGGTTCCAGGTTCATTGGCTCTCCCACGGCAACACTGCTCCGCACAGAACCAGGTCTGATCTACGACAAAAGGTGACTTGTCTGCCCTGCTCCTGTCACTGCCCAAACCAGCAAAGCAGGATTTGCCACTTGTCTTTCTCCTTTTCAATCTTTCCAAGCTATTTTGGGCACGAGACCCACGTTTAGCTCTGTCCCGAGATAACCTTTGCCAGCATCTGCGTACAGATCTTGGCACAGCGGTGGCACGCAGCAAGGTCGGAGGGT